CAGTCATCTATTTTTTTTTTTTTTTTGTTATCAGTGTTTTTCTCTAGCTTTCTTAACGACAGTGTCAACTCAACACATCTTTTGTTGCAAACTATGAGTCAAATAGTGGAGCTCAATCCTAAATCTTTTATAGGTTAATGCGAGTGCTGATTTTCAGAAGGACTTGAGCCTAGACAGCTTAGATAGAGTGGAACTTGTCATGGCATTTGAACAAGAATTCTCAATTGAGATACCTGATGAAGAAGCAGACAAACTTAAATGTTGTGCTGATGTTGCTCAATATATCATTTCTGGAGCTGAGAAGAAAGACGGGGAGACTTCATCGTAGTTTTTTAGTTAGCATCATATCATCGAAAAAGACAAGGTTTCTTTTGAACATTTCTCCTGGATAGTTTGTATGACAAGTTGTTCAATCGAAAGATCATATCGTCCTCAACTTCTTCTAGCTCGCATTTTAGTTTTTGTGGATCCATGTGAATGTTTGCTACATTAACTCGCCACAATTTAAGTTATTGATTCTGCAGTGACTACAATTATGCTTATATATTTTATCGAACTTCTGTGCATCTAGTATGACTATATGAAAGGCTACTCATATCCTGAGTGGAAATACATGTACCTGTCACACATTGTTCATACAAGAAACTTGTATTTACATCTCTCTCTCTCTCAAGAAACTTGTATCTATATATCTCTCTCACTCACACACATACATAATCTTTTCGTGGGAGGAATCACAAGATGAACTGCGGGCTAATACCAGCATGTTCTGAGCTAAAATCCAACAACCCAATGTTTGTGACTGAAGCGCCAGCAGAATGAGTTGTTGGACATGCTCATTTTTTGCCCTAAATGATGCTTACAGTTTCTTGTTGCTCTTTGTCAACTCTCTTTCTGCACCTTTGTGAAACTTTAGAGGTCAGATGAATTGTATCTGTCGTGTAAGTACGGATGCCATCACCGATAGAAGTAAGCTCGAGTCCTTTGTGTTTTCCTCTAAAAGAATGTTCACAAATGGTGTTTCTTGGCAGATGAAGTACTTTAACTAGACATGTTTTTTCCAAGTTTGGAATAGCATGGAGATGAGAAGGAAGATCAATAAGGAATTCTCCATCTTCATCTGTAGTGTTTCTTGCCCATGATTTTCTTGCCTTTCCACTTGATCCACAGAACACAGCCACTGATGCACCTGAAATATGTTGTCATATATATGATTAGCAGTGAAGGGAAGCCTTAGCGTAACGGTGAAATTGCTGCCGTGTGACCATGAGATCACGGGTTCGAACCATGGAAATAACATCTTACAGAAATACAGGGCAAGGCTGCGTACAATAGACCCTTGTTGTCCGACCCTTCCCCGTACCCCCGCATAGTGGGAGCTTAGTGCACCAGGCTGCTCTTTATATATGATTAGTAGTGAAGGGGAGCCTTGGCGTAATGGGTAAAGTTGCTGCCGTGTGACCATGAGGTCACGGGTTCTAGCCGTGGAAACAACATCTTGCAGATATGCAGGATAAGGCTAGGTACAATAGACCCTTGTGGTCCGGCTGTTCTCCGGACCTTGCGCATAGCGGGAGCTTAGTGCACCGGGTTGTCCTTTATATATGATTAGTAGTGAAGGAGAGCCTTGGCGTAACCGGTAAAGTTGCTGCCATGTGACCATGAGGTCACGGGTTCGAGCGTGGAAACAGCATCTTGCAGAAATGCAGGGTAAGGCTGCGTACAATAGACCCTTGTAGTCTGGCCCTTCCCCTGATCCCGCGCATAGCGGGAGCTTAGTGCACTGGGTTGCCCTTTATATAAGATCAGTAGTGATTATTCCATTGGAAATTGATATTCCATTTGAACCCGAGACCTCGTGATTCTCAATCATGCGGAGCAACGTTGACTTATTATATAGATCCTCCTACAAGTTTCAAAATTTTATACTCAATCCTGCCTTTTCTTAATAATACCTTTTCTCTATTCTGTTTTTTTTTTTCTTTTTAAACTTGACTTTTAGAAGCATAGGTTCAATAAATGCAATATCTCTCTGATACAATAACTGTTAAGGACTTTATTAAAAGAAGGTTATTTGTATGCAAAGAAACGTTCTGAATTAATTAACAACTATTAATTATTCTGAGTTTTATTGATGTTACAGATCTACCTATGGTTTAATTAACAACACAAACTGTCCTAATTTAATCTTCGGACGTTTCAATTTTCAACTATTAATTATTTATCTGCAAATTAAAATGTTCAAAACTAGATAACTAATACTATACACATAAAAATAAATTTGATAAATATTCAGTTTGGCTTCAAATATATAGTAACATAATTATGCATGTCCTTGTACTAAGCTAAAACAATTTCAAATAATATTACTATATACAATTTATAATCAAATTCTAGCCGGAGGCACGCGATTTTTTTCCATTTGTCCAAACTTTGGCGGACAGAATTACCAGATATCTGGTAAACAATTTCAAGTATCCTGTAAAATCAGGCGAGTTGCATGTAAGCCAGCAAAGGCGGAGACAAGATTTAAAGTTTGTGGGTTCTGAACTTGTCATCGAACCCATATCACGTCTTAGTTTACCAGATTCGCAATCAAATAATTATACACATTTCATGGATTTTCAAATATAAATACAGGGGCTAAGCAAAAGCTACTGGGCTCGTCCGAACCCGTAAGTAGCCTGCANTTTTGGGGGGATGGTCTAATTTACTAGTGGCAACGAAGTTCTTGGTAATTAGCAAGGGGGAAGGAGGATCTCCACTCATTTCATTCATTCAGTGCCTGCGGTGAGGCGCGACCCACAACAAACGAAGGGGGAAAGCTTGCTTTGCTTGCTGTAGCCCTATTTTTGTAGATTAGGCTTGGTAAGCGTAAGCTATATTTAAGTAGGCTCGCAGCTTCGCTCAGCAGAAGAGCCTGACTTTTTATTATATTAGTAAAGCACTGGCGCCCAACCTATACAAGGGCTTTGAAGGGATAGGGGAAGAAAAGAAAAGAAAGAGGGTCATTTTCTTTTAGGAACATGGCTCCTTCATTCACTTGCTCACGAACTCGCAGCTTCGCCAGAAGCGACGAGGGGAGGCTGGGGAAGGTCTACCTCCGCCCCTGTAAGCTAGCCCCGACACCACAATTATATAAAATAAAATAAAAAGATTATTGAAGAGAGACAAACACAAACCTGGGACTGGTCGAGGATCAAATTCTGAAATCTCATCCTTGATATTATTATTATTATTATTACAGCCAAAATCATTATCACAAACAACTTTCCCTTGAATATAAACAGTAGAGAGCTTTTCTTCGCCATAACCAGCCATTTTTATCATATCTTCATTCATAGTAATTGATTCAACGATAGAAACTCTCTCTATAGCCAAATTTTCAAGAACAAAAAACGAGAAAAAGAAGAAGAAAAACAAGAATATATTGCTCATTTTTATCTTCACAATTTTATTGTGTTCAAAAAATGTGCTGAAGAAAAAATTGATAATCTTTATGTTTTTAATAATGAAAAATAAATAAAAATTGGTAAAGATCATATATTAGATGGAATGAAGAGAAAATGAAACGCTACCATCTTTGGTTTTATATAGAAGCTTTTGCATGGTTCACATGCCCTTTTCAATTACTTTCTTTATTATTACTACTAATACTATTACATTTATAACCTTGAGATTTTTTAATTCAACAAGAAACCGAAATTTTAATTAATTCAGGCTTTTAACAATTAATTAGATGCTTAAATGCATTAGTGATCTATTAATAAAACTCACGATCGTTAAC